TAGAGACAGGGTTTTGCCATGTTGGTCAGGCTGGTCTTGAACTCCTGACCTCAGGTGATCCACCCGCCTCGGCATCCCAAAGTGCTAGGATTACAGGCATGAGCCACCATGCCCGTCTGAGGATTTTTCTTAATCGCAATAAATATTCAGCATTTTTTCTAATGACAATGAATTTTGTTTACAAGTAAAAGTATGCATTTTAAAAGACTCAGATTTATGCTTTTTATGTGAAGCTGCTGAACTAAAAGTAAATGGAAGAAACCAAGTCTAGTTAGTAGGTTTTTTTCTTTTTCTCGTGGAGGTGGGATGGCGGAGGTTAATTACACCTAAAATATCTTCTCCGCAGACCGTATGCTCCTATATAGACTGTAAGCTCTTTGAGGGCAGTCTGTCAGATTTATCTTTGTATCTTGCCCAGCGCCTAGTGTAGTGCTTTGCACATAATGGGTGCCCAATAAATATTGATGATGAATGAAATTGTGTTTTTAATGTGACCAGATCGTGGGGATTGTTGGTAATTAATACTGTCCTACTTTGTAAGTGCTGGTTTTTTTCATTCTTGAGCTCCTACTGACATTAGATCTTCCTTTCAAGGTCAGTTGGACAGTCAAGTTAAATGCTGCTCTTGCTCTAGTTGCTGTGACCTGTGTCGTTTCTGGCCTTTGCTGAGAGCCATGATAGTGGCTAGTGATAAGGTTGATACATAAATCACTTTACTTTAAAATAACACTAGAAAACCTTACTGTAGACCTGACCAAAATAGTATCAGGATGCATGTTTAAAATATAGCTCAGGAAAAAAATGGGTTAGAGCAAATAGTTGATTCTTTGAAAGCCAAGGGTGTTGGCTGAGCCTCTACCAGCTTCTTGGGCACTTTAGCTGCTTTGGCTTACTGCTGCCACACATCCCAACTTATCAGACTGCACCGAATATATTTTGAGCAAAACCTACACAACTCTGAGCAGACTTCTAATAGAACCCAATTCTAAGTTTAAGATGAATTAAGCTGTGGGAATTCTACTCATCCTCTATATTGATTTCAGAAGAGACAGAAGTTTCTCAAAGGGAACATTTATTTGCTGGTGAATTCAGACAAATTCTCAAAACAACAGAAAATCATTGCTTTTAGAGGATAAGGGTTTTTAGCAAGTTGATGTTACCAGGAGTGATACAAGAGGTCAGCTACATTTTACTCTTTTTTTTTTTCCCAAGCTGGCCAAGTGTATGCCAGAACTTTCTCTTTTAAATATTTTCCCTCATACTCCTTTGTCCTTTTCCCTCCTGATGAAGTGCTAAGCAAGAATTCTGAGTTCAGTAAATTGTTGGCCGATTGATGAATTACCATCACAAAAAGAAAACTTACCACTTTAATAAGTATACCTTTAAATCCAACTAGACCTCAAGCTTGAAGGAAGTTTGAAGTATTCCCTTTTCATGTGCATAATTTATACACATCCACTTAGTATCTGTTGATTATAGTTGGAAAATAGACACCTGGGAGTTGAAAAGTAAAGAGACTGATTAGTACTATACTGGAGACCAAAAAAAAAAAAAAAAAAAAAAGCCTCTGAGCCCTTCTAAGAGCTACCATGTTTTTGTGCCTCTAAGCCCTATGCTTGCTTGTGAGCAGCTTGGAATGGCTGTAACCTCCCTGTTGAGTGAGTACAACGGGTGGGAAGGAATCTAAAGGATGTCAGTGGGGAGGAAGTGGGTTCTGACATGCACTAAGGAATCTGAAACAAATTATTCTTAAAATTGGAATGGGATTCTATTAGAAGTCTGCTCATGGTTGTGTGGTCTCACTCAAATTTGTTTAAGAAGAGGCTCATCCCACTGCTGCAGCCTCTGCTGCTGCTTTAAGAATCTCTAAATGCTGTTAATTCTGTGCACCTGCATGGACAACCAAGGGTGACTAAAAGTCTAATTGGGGATCACACTTTTTAAAAAGTTTGTAAATGCCATTTTATGAGGGATTGATTGCCACCTGACTCTTGCTCTCAGCTCAACATCTTGAAAGCCCAATTAAATACTCTGTTAAAATAACACCAAGTGCTATAATAGGTAACATCAAAATTTTGGTAGCATAAGAAAACAAGTTTCTTGTTTTTACGGGGAAGCAATGTGGGTGTTGAGGCAGTGTTCCACATGGTGTGACTGAAGGACCCAGGTGCCTTCCAGCTTGTGAATGCCACCCCAGGGTTACAAGACTTCACTTGTTGGCAGTCGGGGGTTGAGGAAAAGAGAAGACCCACCTGCTTAACTAGCTTCACTCAAGAGTATCACACCAGGAACTCACATTCCAAGGGTGAAAACAAATTGCACATCCCTGTGTTGATATGCAAGGGGCATCTGGGAAGTACCGTCTTTAGTTGGGTATTCGCTTCTCAGAAACAACTGTGTGGTGGATGGAAGCATAAGTCTTTCTCGCATAGCTAGCCACTATCACCTTCTGCTTAGGCCCTCTAGCTTAAGCTGG